AAGACAGAGGCTATGACTTCCTGGGGCTTGCAAGATGACACATCAGAGCTGAAGCACCAACCCCAAAATATTAGATACTATCACATCTGTGTTATGCAGATGACTCTGCAGACCCTTCTCTCTGCTACTGCAGAGGTGATTTCGGGGCTCCTACCCAGCCCACCTCATGGCACTCACATACTTTCTGCCACTCTCAGTCACTCATCCTCAAACCGCTCCCTTCTTCACAAATTAACAAAGCCCTGGTTTGGCACTGGGTCAAGGCTTTTGTTCTGGATGGCCATCATCACGGCTGGACACAGGACCCGCTGGCTGCCCGTAACTACACATATGCCTTAGTGTCTTTATTCTCGCCATGGGTTGCACTGGAAGTGGTAGACTGGAATTAACTCACCAGAATTCCAGTAACTTTCCCATGGGATTATGAATATAACTTCCTGGGCCCCAACGACGATGGGGATGGGCTCTCTATAGCAGGACACGTGCTTCCCAGTACTGTCACTAGCTCTTGTTCTTTCCCTTTCAATAAATTTAGGGTATTTCTGTTCTACTTTAAAGAGTTTAGTATTAGTCAACCATACATTTGTCTTGAAAATGTTAAGTAGTCACAGATGTGAAAAGGAATCAGCCTTTAGTCTGTGATGGGTAAAATGAAGCTCCTTTCAAGTTAGCGGCCCCTCTATCTATGGTTGCATGTGCATGATCTATGCCTGAAGCCCTGGGTCTGATCCCCAGCTAGGTACCACAGCAAAATAAAACAAAAAAAAAAAAAAAACAAAAAGAAACAAAACTCTAGCATACAGAAAACAATATTGAGATCAGGAATGGAGCTAAGATTCTTCAGTCCAAACCTTAGAAGAAAAGCTCGTATGGTCAAAAAATTGAAGTGCAGAGTTCAAAATATAATTAAAATTGTTAACTATATTAATGTATAATTACAGCAGAAACTTATTAAGGGATTAAATTAGCTAATGACTAGACAGGCATTAACTTGATTTTTTTTAACCTAACTGTAGTAAGGAAAGACAGCTAAGAAAAAAAACTTTTTAACATAACAAGGCTAGTAGCTGCCAGGGATGGCGGCACACGCCTGCAACCCCAGCACTCTGGAGGATGAGGTAGGAGGATCATTTCGAGTTGAAGTCAGCGTGGGCTACACAGTGAGTTCAAGACCAGCCTGAACTGCAGAGCAAGACCCTATCTCAAAAAAAAAAAAAAAAAGAAAAGATAATGCCTTTAACCCCCTTCACTAAGTGTCTGAAGGCTTTCTTTATATTCTTCATGTTTAAAAACAGAGAGTACCCTCTCTATCTAAAATTTTCATGTCTACATTTAACTATAAGTTATAGGATAAACATATATAACCAGTCATCTCTTTTGGTAGACAAATGTAAGTATTTTCAGAAAATAGCATTTTGGTAAAAATGTGTTCTAAAAGGAGCTAAGGAGGCTTCTTAAATGAACGTGAAGTATTCTTTTCTTATAGTTACTGTCCACTAAGCGGGGGGCACACACAGGGGCTTTTCCCTCTACAATGGTAGTTCTCTAAGACCTGAAGAACACTGAGGGGGATTCCGGGAAGAGGGTGGGGTGGTGAGCAGCACAGACGTGGTGTCCAGACACTGAAATACAGCAGTAGGAGGAAGACAACAAGGAGGGGCGTGGGTTCCCGGGACCCAGGAAGGATGTGAAGCCAGAACTGAAGCCCACAGGAGAGGGAAGACAGAGATTTCGAGGAAACAGGAGGAAGAGGCAGGCCCCCGGAGCCTTCTCCCGAGGCGTCTCACTGAGGGGCGTGGCTCAAACGTGGAGCAGTGGACGCAGTGGGCTGCTCTGGCTGGTGGGGGAGCTGTCCATTCGGCTCTCCCGCAACTGAGGGTGGTGGGCGGGGGGCATCTCTGAGAGAGGCCCGATGAGCTTGGGACTCTGAATGGCTGCTGGCTCCAACTGGAGCTCGAACCCACAGCAGGCAGCGGGACTGCGGCAGGCTGGGTGGGTCTGGCTCCATCCTCAACTTCGGTGGAGAGAGGGGTGCAGGCTCCCTGGGACAGATCCACGTGTCTGGACACTGTCTGCCCACACTGTCTACCGGGGGCATAGGCACACCTAGAGGTGGACATTTTTTATTTTCTTATTTTCTCTCCTGGTTTTCTGTTTGTTTTTCTGAAGGCCACGCAGTCACTGCACGCCATGCACACTTACCATCCCAGCTACGAGGAAGCTTGGCCTGGCAAGCCAAGGCCGGCCTAAGCAATACGGCCAGGCCCCTCTCTGAGCCCACAGATTCGGACCTATCTCTAGAATCATACTGGTTTAAATTTTATTAATTAGATTCCTTTCCTAATTTTAAGGAAAAGTTAACCAGTGATTAGTACAAGAAAGAAGTTAAGATTCTTTACAAACTACACTTCAATTATTTCAAATCTGACTCAGTAATAGAATGATGGCAGATGCTTTAAAGCAGACTCAAAATCCATGAACTCAGGAATCTGCTGGACAGGAACTCCAGTGAGCGGCTAAGCAGTACTGAGAACCGGCACAGGGCTTCATAAAGCACACACAGGCATGGGACACCCTCAGACTAAACCAAAGTCTCCCCTGAAGAGCTCATTCTAACTGTAATGCTTTTCTCACTATAAAAAATACATACCTTTTTTTTTAATGTGGACAAATCAGAGCAACCGTATTTTAAAATACAATTCACAAGGAAGAATAGTATCTATTAATAGGAAACTAACACGTAATCTCTAATTAAGAGTATGAACAGGGAACACAGTCTAGCTCCCACTCGTATTTAAAGAAAACACACACAGACATACCTACACATGTGGCCTAATCTCTGTTCTTCAGGACCAACTATGGTCCAGGTACATATGTCTGTCTGTTTTTCTGTTAGTTTTTTGAAAAGGATTTCACTGTGTAGCCCAAGGTAGTCTTCAACTCACTTTGTAGCCCAGGCTGCTCTTAAAATCGCAGCGATCCTCCTGCCTCAGCCACCTGAGTACTAGGATTGCAGGTGTGCACCCTCAAAGCCAGCCCAGATACATATGTCTATCTGTACATGTATAAGCACAAGTATGTATTCTGCATGTCTCACATATCAATCTACACACCAGAAGAAAGAGTAAAGCATGAGAATGACACATTTTCACAACATCAGCTCTTGGGCGTTTGGAATCTTATGTTTTAGTTATATTATGACCTAGAATGCAGGTACTAGAAGCTAGAATTAACAGTGAATCAGAACACGTTCTTTGTGAGACATGAACATAACCTTAAGTCCTATATGTATTTTTATTGTACTGAGATTGAGTGAAAAGATTTTCATACATACATTTGTTTTAAGTAATGTTCACATAGTGTTGCAACTGTCAAAACTCATCTAACTGACTGAGATAATATACTGTATTATATATTAATTATATCAATAAAAAATATCTAGGTAGAACTAATTATATCTCAATAAAAAATGTCTAGATAGAACTTCTCCAGTGTACATAAGGTGGTAACAGTCTCCAACCTGTTGGTACAAATACCAAACGTTGTAAGAATCACACTTAAAATGGTACAAACACTACAAGGGATGAAACATTCTAGAGCTTATCTCTGGGGATGTATCACTGCCACAAAAAGCAGTTTCAGTTAAATACTCCCTGTACAATAAAGCCAAGTGTAAATTCAAGGGCCGGGCGTGGTGGCACAGCCCGGAATCCCAGCACTTGGGAGGCTCAGGCAGGAGGATGGCTGCAAGTTTGAGGCCAGCCTGAAATGCATAGTGAGACTCTGTCTCAAAAAAAAGTTCAAGGAACTGCTACACTTCTAGACATGTAGCACAAAAACAAATTTTGGCTTGGAGGTTTAGTCCATTTTATACTGCCATACTGTCTCAAGCTGATGTCTTTCTTGGGACTCAAGAGTTGAGGGACAGACCTAGTTTATAGAAAATGTCAACAAACTAGGTACTATAATTTATTTTTATAATATATCTGAACACAATGATTTAATGAAACAAGAAGAAAAGATACCTTAGATGTTACAATAGTATTTCTATTTCTATATTCCCAAGGCTTGATTTTATGGTCTCATTTATAGCCTTTTTGAGTTATTAAATTCAATTTTTAAGTATTTCGAGTATATGGAAAAATGCAAAGAATTATTAGACACTTATGTTAAACTATCCTAAGTTTGCATGACAAGTTTCCTATCCTGCTTCTTATCTTTTGTCCTTGGTGTGACAGGAACACCTCCAGCCAAACAATCCCAGACAATCAGATGTAGAATTGGAGACCATCAAATTTCAATCAAGGGAGGAGATTTTATTTAACGTAGAAATGGGAAAAAACCCAGAGAAAATAGCTTAATTTTGTTCTTAACTACAATTTGCTTTGAGATTACGTTAACAATGTAACACAATTTATTAAAAGTACTACCGAGTAACATCAATATCAAAAATAAGCACCTATACACACCATGTTACACTTTAGAAAGCCCTTTCATATTTTACTTACCTCATCAAATGAAAATGCTCTACTGAGGTGGTAATAGATTCACAATAAAAACAAAATCCTCTTTTTCAAAATGACATCAACTAAAAACACAGATTACATCCCTGCCTTTAATTTTTGGAAAATGTTTAAAAGTATAAACCAAAACAAATAGTCAAAAATAACATTTGTCAGCATTTTGATGAATCTAATATTCTTCCATTCCAACTCTATTACGTTTAGAAGTTTTAAATTGTTTCATATCAACTAGATTAACATTCTCTTAAAAAAACTTACCCTCCCCTGCAAAAAGTGTTGCTCTTTATTTAAAAATAACAAAGACAAGGGACTACACAGGCCAAAATGACCGCAGTCAAAAACTTTTAAAATTTCTGAATGGAATCTCCCAGAGTCAGAGTTAGAAAAAGACAGAAGCAGCACAAGCATTTAGTAAGTACCTAATGTGCAAAGTACATGAGCCAGACATCATCTACCTCAAGAAGACTGCATGCTTACCTGTTCAATCTCTTTGGTTTTCAAGGCTATTGCTTTTGAGCGACTGCTGAGCTGGCTGTCTTCAAATAATTCTGTGCTGTTGGTTGCATTGGTCTCCGGCTCCTCTGGCTGCTCAATGAATAACGGTGTTGTAGGTCCCGCCTTGAAAAAATGTTTCAAACCTTTACTTACTTTCTTAAAGGACACACAGCATTTCAGATGGTATGTTAAGAAAGCACTAGGTTTAATGTGATTTAAGAAAATGTTTAATCCCATCATATACAATGAGCACATATGGAGAGGATTAAAGAGGAAATGATTGCTACTGTTTAAATTTTAGGAAAAATACAGACTACATTTAGTCCATCCCAAAATTATACTTCAGTCTATATTAAGATACAGCGAGAAAGTTTTGCCCCATCACTATTCCTTATGCTCTCTAACTTGGAACACACAGGAGAAAAACTCCAAATGCAAGTGAGAACGTGCACACAGAAAAGAATAAAAGGAACACATCTTCAGATAAGGGTTCCATCTTCAGAAGTTAAATTCTGTACTCCAGAATAAAAGGGTTCCATCTTCAGAAGTTAAATTCTGTACTCCTCTAACTTAAGAATACTGGAATCATTAGAGGAAACAATCCCACAAAACAGAATAACCACTGGTAGTTTTTCCAAGGTGTGGTTGGTACACACCTATAGTCAGGAGGCTGAGGCTGTAGGATCATGCTCTCTAGGCCAGCCTGGGCTATGCAGTACAGGAGTTCCAGGCCAACCTAGACAACAGAGCCAGAGCTTATCTCAAAACAGAATAAACAACCATTGGCCGTAGTGGTGCACGCACGCCTGTAACCTTAGCACTTGGGAGGCTGAGGGAGAATCATCATTGCGAGTTCCAGACAAGCCTGGGCTACAAAGTGAGCTCAAGGCCAGCCTGAACTGCATAGCAAGACCCTGTCTCAAAAAGAAGAAAACAAACAAAAAAGGAACAAACAAAAACACTAGGACTTGAGTAACAACTAAACAGTGAATAATGTCACAGCCAAGAGGCCATTCCCTATGAATACACCATCAACTGTGTCACAAAAGGAGAGGGCAGGGTGGTTAAGGATAAAAATACATAATCTACTCATACACATATCCACAGGCATCTCTGGGTAACACTACCCTTGAGAAAATGATTACAGCAGATTTCCCAGTAAGAACAACACAGAAGTGAAGAGGATGTTGGCGACACTTGTCAGCATGTGCGAAGGTGACAGCACCGAGAGTGCAAGGTCACTTAGAGATGACACTTGGCCCAAACACTGAGAGGACCCAATGCGAGGCTGTCTCAAGAGAGCAGTGCTGAAACTACACCTCTGGCTGTTGCTCAGTGGAACACAGGAAGAAAGGTGGCCTGCTACTGCAGAACAATGAGGTCTGCACGCGTGCTCTGGGATATAAGGTTAAAAATCAGAGAAGCATAATAGGCTTGACCTTTGTCCTTCTGATTGCCTGATAAGTTGCTTAGATTAACCGAAGAAACAGCTGGTAGCAGACCTCATACTGTAGTGGTATGAGGTCATACCACTACAAGTACTGTAGTGGTACCTCGGCTCAAGAATGCAGAACTTGTTCCCTGATCCGGGTTGTAATGGAATTCTGTGGCCAGAGTCATGGAAAGAGTGAGGGTGGTGAACCCAGGTGCCACTGGATAGAGGTGGAAGCCTGAAGGCAGTGTGAGGGGCGGAGCCAGTGTGGGGGCGGAGCCAGTAGGCAACAGCATTAAGGTGGTCTCAAGTGACACTGCAAGCTTCCATTTGCAGATTGTGAAGCTGGCCCTTCCGTCGATCCTGGAGACAGGAAATCACCCCGCGAAGGTCTGTGTGTTGCCTTGTATCATGCCAGGAAACAGAGTGCAAAAAGGCACAGCAAAAAAAAAAAAAAAAAAAAAGGCACAGCAGTAACATACATACAGCAGCACCCTGCATCACACCTAAGGTGTGATGAGAGTGTCTGCTGGTGCTGCGAGCCACCCCACAGCAGCCCCGAGAACATTAGGGCGTCCTAAGATTTCTTTGCCAATGCTGGTTTGTGTCAGCAACTCAGAAGTAAGGTTGTGAAAGTGGCTGTTCCTGGTTTGGGCAGTTTTAGGAAATGGGTCAAGGTGACTGCTGCGGTCGCCACTGTAGCTGGGACTGCTGTGGCTGCAATAGCTGCCGCAATCAGAATACCAAGAAAACGTTTCTGTCTGCTCTGTTCAGGTGCTGAGGTAACGGGGTCAAGGGCGGAGCTTCCCAGCCACTCTTTCCTGAGACCGGTGGGGAGCCAAGCTGCGGCACATTGTCTGAGTACCATAATACGAGTAATATTTAATTCAGAAATATTAATGTCAGGGACTCACGGAGTGAGCCACGTAGCGCCAGCTGCTGGGGTAACACTAAGGGCCTGAAGAGGTCAATGACAGTGTTCAGAAGAAGTGCATTCTGCAAATGTAGGTCCTCTTTAGAAAGGACTGAAGTGTATGGGCAAGAGGTGCAAATCACATGGTCGGAGGTGTCATTCGTAACTCATATGAGAATCGGTGGGAAAAAGGGGTAGCTAAACACCACCGAGATCCTTTAAGAGGAGAAAGACATGTGCATGAGGAGAGGCACAGGAAAGGTCCAGCCAGCCCAGGGTTCCATAAAGGTGGGGTGCTGTTATAATTAAAGGGTCACTACAGTTCCAGGTAGAGTTAGGCTTTAGCACTCCTAAACTGTAAGGCACCCACCTTTCTAGAGTCAGATTGTACGAGAGAGCTAACAGCAAGGTGGCGATCTACATGGGTCTGTCCCGAATCTAGGCCATTGCCAGGGGGTGGGGATAGGGTGGGGAGGGGTGGAGGCAGACAGGAATATTGGGCTTGAGAGGCATCTGCCAGGTTCCTCCCCCTCCAGCGGTGGTAATAAAAACTTGATGCCGAGTTCCTCTTTTTGATTACGGCCTATGAAAACAGTTCACATACCGCTGGGGCAAGAAGAGAATGCAATAGCTATTATCAGTGATGTTGGTGACCGGGGTAAGGGAAACCCTTCTGCCGAAAAGTGACACTCGGGAGGTAACAGGTGCAACCACTAGAGGACGCAGATTGGCTGCAGTCCCTCCCACAGTCCCAGCGGGGGCCAGGAGGTGGTAGCAAGTTCCACCGGTGGAAGAGGCACCTTTAGAAGAAGACAGGCTGGTCCTGGATCTCTCCATGTGACCTTGTCCAAAACAGGTGGAGTAAGAACACAGGCCGAGCAGACCATGCCACTTACTTGCGGTAAGTATGGCAGCAAGCTCAAAAGAGTAAGGGACCTTTTTACCTTTGCAGCCTTGGAACTGGATGTGATCTGCTCTATCATCGAAAGAAACAAGTTTTCAGGAGTGAAGGGGGTTCCTGTCATTTTGAGAGTTTGTTCAGCTTGGTAAGTAATTTTCTTAATGTCTCCCCAGGTGGGTCCTGAAGTACGTGTCGTGGAGGGCAGGGGGTCCATGCTCTGCGTCTCGCTGTTCGCTCCTGGAGGAAGTTGTATTGCCAGCTTCGGGAGCTCCAGGAGAGGGCTGTTTCCCGCCTGGTTCCACACAGCGGGGATGCACGGTCTTTGCTGGAACCCAGACTGCACCTGTGGGTGACAAAACAGATGCAAACCCCCTCCCCCAAGGAAGCAATTCCACGGGGCCCAACCACTGTGGAACTGATAAAGGTGTCGATATGGTCTCGGTCTTTCCTTTACGGGAATAGAATGTTTTCTACTGCTTTCCATCCATCTGAGTCAAAATTTTAAAAATTTGTGCTTTGTAGAACTGTTTCTGTATGGGAAGTCTCTCTACCATATTTCCTCTCAGTTAATAAGTGAATTCTGAGGAGTCCCTTGGCCTGTCCCACTATAGCCTGTCCGGTAGGACTGTGAGGTATGCCAGTGGCATGTTTAACATGCGAGAATTGAAGACTGCCTGAGGACAACTGGATTTACACATGAGGCAAATTTCTATCTTCCTCATGGTGTGGGACAGTGAGATCACAATCTTTAAGATACACAACTATGAGATGGTAGGTTTGAGGGATAAGAGCAGGATTAGGAATTCTGCGCTGTAGGGATCCTATAGGGACTTTGTGGGAATTCAATTGCTGGAGGTCATGTAATAGCCTTTATTTTCCTGACTTTTTGGGCATACAGAAAATCGGAGTGTTCCCGGGGGTGTAAGAGGGGTCAACTGGTCAGCATGCAGCTGCTCTTCCAGCTGTCAGTGGGCCTGTGTACATTTCTCCCCTCTTAGTGGTCATTCCTCCCCGTGAACAGCGCTTCTGGGACCACTGTGCCTGACTGGCAGCAGGATGGCAGTAGCCATCGTGGTAAATCCAGCTAGGATGTGCTAATGTGCACATCTCACTGGAAAAGCAAATCTCTGACCCGTAGGAGATCAGCAGATCAAACAAAGAGAGCTGTATGTGGCCCTGTGGCCCTTCGGGCTGATGAGGTCAATCTGCTTTGGCACGGGGCTTTAGAGCCACAAAATCCTGAAGCAATCAAGAAAGAAACTGACAGCCAGGAAGGAAACCAGTCTTTACAGTAAGGCCTTGCCTTGCGAAGGTCTGAGCTGCGGACTTTCTCAGGTGTACTGTACAGTGCTCACTTTGTCAACTGATGAACAGATCTGACTTATGAACAGTTCTTGAGAATTCTAACTCATTCATAAATAGGGAACTTCTAGTACTTGCGAAAACAGTTGTATCTGCTCAAGTAAGGCCTGTCAAACGTTCTGGATTAGCCCTGACAGTGAGTACAGGGCCCCCAGGGGTAATCGAGCAGTCCAAAAGGCTTCCTCACTGCGGCATCTAAGACATGCTCATGTTCTGTCAGAGGTCTGGAGACAAAGGGGGAACGGGACTAGATATAGAATTTGTGCTCCTTCCAGAAGGACATCATACCCTAGGCTTATCATAATCTTTATTTGCCCTGAACACTCTGAGTCACTCAGACCACTGACTTGGGCCCCCTTACTGGGAAGATCCAGTCCTGGAGGTAAAGGTCCCCAGACACTGCTGGCTGTCATCTTCACTTTGCCAGCCTCTTGGAAAATTTCATCCGCCTCAAGGTCCAGGCCGTCAAGAGGTGGCTGTGATTTGAGGTCGGTTCCCATGCTGGGGTGTGAACACTCCATGCCGGTGCTTATCTGCTGCAGAGTTTTGCCCCCCTTCCCATTTCCCGAAATAGGGTTTCCTTTGTAATCAAATTTAGAGCAGCACCGATATCTTATGTTTGGGACACTTTCCTTTAGGCCTGCCTTCTTTTCTTTACTTGTAGCTTTTGCGATCCTTCCGAAGATGTCCCTCTTTGCCATGATTATAACACTTTCAAGGCTGCAAAGCCACAGCAATTCCTTTTAATTTATGACTGTCGGTTCTTACATTTGGCAAATTTAATCGTTTCGGCAATATTTAAATTTTTTCCTTTAAGCGTTGCTAAGACCATGACAATCAGCATTGGTATTTTCATGTGCTAACTGAAAACATCCAGGGCTTGGGGACTGTCTGTCTGTTGTGAAATATGCAATCTATGCAAGCCTCGCTCGGGTCCTGTCTAAAGGTGGCAAAGGAGCTTCGAGGGGCTGCACGAGAAGCTCCAGTGGAAGTGGGCGTTCATCTGGGACTGAGCCCCCTCCATGACCACGTCCGTTCCCAGGGGCGTCCCTGTGCTCACGTGACCTGGGGACTGAGCAGTGGCAGCGTCCCGATGCTCTTGAAGCCATACACGGAACTGTGCAGTGCTAAGCGCCGTTTTCATTAGGACCCTCCAGTCCTATGGCGCCTTCCCATAACCGTGTCCTACTGCCTCTACTCTTTCTTTTGTAAACAGGCTCTGCAGACCCTCGTAGGAAATCTTCTCTAAATAATTTAAAAACCGCATAAGGGAGGCGATCATGGAGAGGTCCCTGACCTCCCCTAACCACAGCATGAGCATGTACTTCCCCATCTTTCACGCTAGCTTCTTTTAAGCATTTCTCCATGGAGGACTCAGATTCTGAGGCTAGGGGTTTTGCTGGAGGAGGAGGAGACAGGAAGGGGATTTTGAGGGAGCCGAGGTGGTGAGGAGGGCCTTTTTAAATGAAGCCTCTTTTGTTTCAACAGATTGAATGGTGACTCTGCAAAGATGCCAAGTATCCAGGTGCGCAACTTTCACGGGACTTAACAACCGTCTCAATTTTTGACCCACAGTTCCTAGGCCTCCAGCTCAGGCTACCCTGCAACAGAATCCACGGCATCGTGGGCAGGTAACTACTAGGAGTTTACTAGTTCAAGCTAAGAAACTTTACCTCCAGGTGTCTTTATGAGACACTGCGAAGGTTGCTTAAATTGTTCTTCCTCTTCGGATAAAGTTTATTCCACACGGCACGCAAAGCAGATGAAAAAATGAAGGAACAAGAAGAAAAATAAGCACACTGCCTATGCTCACTTGGCAACTAGACAGTTAGAAGACCTCTGGGCGGCTAAACCCAACATTTGACCTTGTCATAGATGTGCCCGGCTACTCTGTAGCCACCTACGTCCCCTTACACGACGAGGAGCTGGACCTTGCTTCTTTTCCAGGCTCTGGTAGACTGTTCCTCCACGCTGACCCGTAGCAGCAGGTTGCCTCGCCGTTGCCCACCTCACACAGGGCTTCGCTTGTCAGTGTATGACCACGGCGGTGCACAGGACCAGAGGATTACTTGAAGCCGACACTTCATCTACATTCGAGGTCCATGGGGGTTGTCCAAGCGCACCCACTGTGAAGGCGTCTCGGAGGAGCAGTGCTGAACTGAGAGCTCTCTGGCTTTTATTGCAGGGAAATACAGGAAGGAAGGCAGCTTGGTTGTCAAGGAACAGAGAGGTCTTCCACGACCTTTTGTAGGATAATCTAAGCAATTTACTGGGCAGGGGGAAGGACAATGACCAAACCTACGCTGCTTCTCTAATCTTCAGCCATACATTCCAGTGCCTACCTGCTTTTGGCCCTGCAGGCCCCCGTACATTCCAGGGGGTGCATGCTCTTGCCCACAAGCCCCTCCACGATGTACTCGCTCATGCCTCCACACCAGTCTCCCAGACAGTGCACTTCCGATACACAGGCACACTGGCTACTGAAGAACTACTCTTCACAATTCTGAGGTGCAAAATTTAAGGGACTTAAATCAAAAGCATAAGCATCATTTAAGAAATTTTAACCTCCATATATCCTAGTAGCCAGAACTGTAAGAGATAAAAGTACGGTCTTGTAAACTGTTCGGTTTCCAGTATCATGATAAAGCAGCACGGAAGTGAGGTGCGCACAGGCCTACACACGAAGGAGGTACACTGGGGGAGCATGGGGAGCACAGCAGGACCAGCAAGTCTTAGGAAGGCAAAGGAAAGAAGAAAGGTAACTGAGAAAAAGCTCCACAAACTCGCTCTATCAGGTTGTTCCAATAACTTTCAGATAACCTGCCTTTCATTTAGAGAGCGCAAAGCCAGCCTCTAACAGCTACTTAGGTGCACTACATTTCCACAAGACACGACTGAGCTCTCCTTGACGGTAAGCTCTGATGCGGTGTGTGACCCAAGCAGATACAGAATGAATAGTGAGTTTAGAGCCACTACATTATCTCTCTCTGAAAATCTGTACCTCAAAACACTAATAGACAATATATGCTGCTTAAAAAAATTTAAAGTTAAAATTTTGGTAAATCATACAAACTCCATGATTCATCCTTTCATGGATGGGCATATTAATATACTAAAATCTCTGTATAATGCCGACATGTCAAAACCAACCTACCTCTTTTTAAATACAACATTTCCCAAACATTGTGGCGTATAGAATCTTCTTTTTCCCTCCCTCAGACCATCACAATTCTACAGAATTATTAGGCCATCCAATCTGTCAGAAATGTTCTATTACAGCCAACAAGATCAAAGTAAATGCCAGGCATGGCGCACACCTGTAATCCCAGCACTTAGGAGGCTGAGGCAGAAGGATCGTTGTGAGTTTGAGGCCAGCCTGTGCTACAAAGTGAGCTCAAGGCCAGCCTGAACTGCACAGGGAGACCTTATCTCAAAAAGACAAAACAAAAACAAAACAAAACAAAAGGATCGAAATAAACACTGAACAGAGGAACTAACTATAATAAGGCTGAATACTGACCACATTATTGAATTTATCTTCACTTTCACTGAACTTTAACAACTCCAGGGTGTCTCACGAGAACTACTTAAAATCACACTGAGAGCAGCAAGAGAAGATAAGCGAAAAATCCAAGCATTCAGTCTCCTTCAACACAATATTTCCGAAGTACCTGGGCAGTTACCTGAAGAGCTCAGACAGTACCACACCACCACGAGTAGATTCAAAAGGACACATACAGCAAACACTACTACACCAGATTCTTAACATCAGGCAAACACCTTTGCTCATTCCAGGTTTTTCTATTAAAGCAGTTATGGATTTACTGCACTAGGGTCAAAATTCTATTTTGCCACAAGTACAGACCCTTGAAACAACTACTTAACAGCCTGTGAACTTATATGGGTACTTGAGGAAAATACTAACCAGATGTCGGGACTCAGTTTACAAAGCCTGAAAAAACTTCTCTACTGCTTTTTCCAGTATGAGAAAGCATCAACCCGACTTGGCAAACACTGCAGAGGATGGCATGAAACCGACGCTATCACCCAACATTAGTGATGTACACCAAGTAACACACACACCACAGTAACCCAGGTTGCACACTCACACGTATTTCTCTCCCCTTTGGGTCAACAAAGGACCACATGTGACCTACAACACAACTTCCCGATTTTTAGGGTCATTTATTTTACATTTATCAAAAAAATGGGGCAAATTGTAAAAGAACTTTACGAAAAAGTTTCTATAGACCCCAATGTCACTTGACTACTCAGTATGTCAAATTCTATCCAAGCAATGAGAAAATATGAATATTTAAAATCTGAGAAACGTGCACAGTAAAATTTTCTAAGTTATGACAAAAATTGATGTGAAGATGGAGAAGATGAATATACTATTAATATTTAGAAGTAAAGCCTTGCTTAGACCTACATATTAATAAACCCATTTTATTAATAAAGTATTACACAAACAAGAAAGCAATCTTAGTCCAAAAGAGCAATTCTGAAGCACAGATATCTCTATTAAAGTACAAAAACCACTATCCTAGGACTGGGAGTATAGCTCAGCAGTAGAGCACTTGCCTAGCAGGTTCAAGGCCCTGGGTTCAATCCCCATCACTACCATAAAAAACAAAAAACTGAAAAGCACTATTCAAATTGTTGTTTTTTAATCTAACTTTAAAAAGCGAAAATATTTTATTGTAAATTGCCCTGCTAATAATACTGTGTGGTCCATGCTTTTAAACAGTGCTAGGAAAGGGCTGAAGATTACTTTCTGAAACTTCTCATGCATTTACTCAAGAGCATAGAAAAAAATCAATTATTCGAGTTAAAATGACAAGGAAACATTGACCTATTTAAGAATAATTGCTATCTAAATGATGGACCCGCGGTTTTTGTTTTTTTTTCCAAAAGGTTCTATTTGGGTCAGTTTTGATAGGGCTTGTACTTCTAATGAACAGTGTAATTACTTACTTTGAAAAGGGATCTTTTGAAGGTGAAGGTAAGCTTTTTTTTTGAGACAAGGTCTCTCTATGTAAGTAGGGCTGGCCTCAAACTCGCAACAATCCTCCTGCCTCAGCCTCCCAAGTGCTGAAATTGCTGATGTGTACCACCATACCCAGCTGTTGTAACCATATTACTGTCATAAATGATGCTAATACTTCATTCTTATAAAAAAAAACAACTCCACAGAAGTTATCCCAAAGTATATCAACAAGCCAGAATTCTCCTTCAAATACAGTAATTCATCAAGATATGAAGATTTATTATCTCTGCCTGTCAGGTCAAAACTAACTTTTAGAGTTATCCTATATCTAAAACTCAGTTCTTGAAATTTCTCTATTTGACTCTTAGAAATATTACAGATCATACAGAAAATTTTCAATTCACTTTCAAATATTTTAATACAAATATTTCTTTTTCTTTTTTTTTGGTCTTTTTGAGACAGGGTCTCAATAGGCAGTTCAGGCTGGCCTTGAACTCACTCTGTAGCCCAGGCTGGTCTCGAACTAGCTACGATCCTCCTGCCTCAGCCTCCTGAGTGCTGGGATTACAGGCGTGTGTCACCACGCCCGGCATTAATACAAGCATTTCATAAAGTCTTCCACGAGCCCCCAAATCAAGACTATTACTCTGTGTAGTACATTTTAGTAATTCACAAAAACGTAGACAGCCACGCTTCCCTCCGAACATATCTGAGGCACTGACACAGCAGACGCAGTTCACCTAGAACTTCACACCACACAAATGCTGCAGGAGTCAAACACACGGCACCCGCAACGCCATACCTGGAACTCGGAAATCCCGGGCACGCTGCTCTCCTCCGACTTCTCCAGCTTCTCCGCAGCCCACTTGCTGGCAGCCTCGGCGAGCTCCTTTTCTGTCAGCCTGCTGGGCTTCTCTAGAGCCTGGCAAGAGCAAGAGCGCTGCTGTTACAGCTCTACTTTCACAGCAGCTACATCGAGAAGGGCACCCTGCGCACGCTCGAGTCCTAAAGCCCTGCAAACCTTTCCCTCCCTCTCCTTCATAGCTACTCGGCGGAAGAACTGCTTAAGCAGCAGATCCCCCAGGACACACACACTAGAGGTGACCTAATTTACACAAAACCTCAGGGGTTCATCTAAGGCACAAAGCAGAGACTGACGGCTCACACCCTGACCTTATACAGAACCCAAAAGATAAGCTGATTTCAACTTGCTATCCTTAATCATGTTCAATGAAATGAATAAAGCCAACTTTCCTTAATGTCCACTCCAAATCAACACAACAGAAAATTCCAGACACCCTAGTTTTATAAATCATATAAACCTCAATGCTTACAAAGATTATTAAAATTTAAGTTTCATTTTTTGAATGAAACTTCCCTTTTCCCCTTTCTCTTCTCTAACCTAATACGAAGTATGGGCTTTGGAGTTAAAGATAAACCTGAATTTAAGTGCAGTTTACCTCCTTGCTAGAAAGATCATTTTATATACATAACAATACTTTCAATCTTGGCATTTCATTTATAAAATAGAATTTGTAATACTCAGTTCAGAAAGTAATTTAGTAATTTAGAAAGTAATTCTCAATTTGAGAATTAAGAGAAGCGACAGACCTGAAAATATCTAGGCTAACGCGTGATGCTTTTTTTTCCTGCGTTCCTTGACATCACTCTATTACAGTAACACCTGAAGAAAATTAATCAGTTCATACAGGAAATATAAAATCAACGAAAATAAAGTGTACCTCTGGATCACATATAATTTCCATAATGTCACTTAGATTTAAGGCTTTACATACAGATTACAATACTAAAGCACAAATTAGAAAAATTCTATTCTTAGGGTCCTTACATTAACTCGCAAATTCCATTCTGTTTCCCTGGGATAATTTTCATCACCTATGCCCTGTCACACCTAACTTTCCCCCAACTCTTCTCAAATAATTCCAAACATACCCGTCCCCTGGAAGGCAGTCCAGTAAATATTCCCATCTTGTGGTGTATGCACTAATACAGTGCTTCTATATGTAAACAAAAGCATTTTCATTACACAGAATTTCATGAAGATGATTAGAGTTCACCTTAGTACCTTAACTTATACCCCAGAAACTAAAATGGTAGTGGTAGTTCCTTGGCCAAAGTCACTAACAAACACCAGTAGGATGGGCACTTGAACATCCTCACATTGGCCCCTGGGACAGTTACATGGAGTTGTGGGAGAGAAAAATATCCCACTGCAAATACACTTCTTTCACTTACTCTGGGTTGGTTATTCAGAAGAACTGCAGACAAATGAAAGCTCTGCAAAGCTGTCCCCTCATAAAAGCAAAAGTACAGACATAGCTCCAGGAGATAGTAAGCAGAAAGTATAAACTGCAGCTCCTCCCTTGATCGCCACATCTGCCTAGGAAAGAATCTTCCCAGCGGGGCAGAGGCTGGGCCTGAGATCTGGTTCATACACAGGCCACAGCTGGTTGTGGCAGGGCAGCGGCCTGGGAACTTCTCTCTGCATAATCAGGTAGGAAGCAAAATTCCAGAGTTTCTCTCCTGAACCTCCCAGGCCCTTAAGGCTGCCTCCCCTCAGGAGTGTCAAGCCCCTATTCTTTTGTGCATTTGAAGGTATTATATAAACTTCAGACACCCAGTCTTCCCCTTGATGCCACGTACGAAATCTGTCAAACCTCTGGAAGGAAAACAGAGAATCTGAAACGTTTCTTATTCCAGGCCCCGAGGAAGCCTATATGTCTCATTCCCTGGCCCTGCCCACAGAGAACGTTACAAAGGCTAGGTGTGATGGTGCATGCCTGTCATCTCAGCTACTTGGGAGGCTAAGGCAGGAAGACTATAAATTTAAGGCCAGCGCTGGCAACTGACCAAGACCTTATCTCAACAATAAAAAGAGATGTGAATGAGCTCTGTGGTGGAGCACCGCTAGGCTCCTTTCCCAGTTTAAAACCAAGTTCACAGCTAGCCTGGATTATATCATGAGACCCTGTCTCAAAACAAAAACAAAACCTAGCATACTAGATCCCTCAGGTGTCTAAGAATGCCCCAATAATATTAAGTTGTCACAAAGAAATTTTTTTCCTTCTGAAGCAGAGAACCAGCTGCCCCTGAGTACCCTGACTACTCAGGTGTTTTCTGTGCTGGCTGAAAAGTCAAAACTATCAAGGAAGAACGAACACTGGACATGGGGGTCCGTGGCTGCCAGCCCAGCTGCATGGGAGGCTGACACAGAAGGACTCCAAGTTCAAAGGTGGCTTTGCCAATTTTGCAAGACACTGTCTCAAAACAAAAAACGTCTAAGCGCATGGCCCCATGGTAGAGTGCCCTTGAGTTCAACCCTCACAGCGGGAGAGGAGGAGGAATGAAAAGAAGTGAATGAGAATGTAAGAGCTACGGAGAAGAAAAAGGTGCGACAGCTAGCTGAAGACAAGAGACGGAACACCACTTCTCAAATTTGAAATGTCTGAGGATTACAAACATGAGGTCCAGCTTTTCAACATGTTTCGGGATGCTGAGAAGGTAGCAATGAAAAAAACAAGAGCAGCTACTTGAGAAAAAAAAATTAACTTCTGACATTTTCATCTGCTGTAGAGTAAAAACTTACACCTACCATATGTCCAGCATTTCTGTACCAATAAAAGAGAATCCTATAATAGTCAACTTTTAGGTCCTTTGCCCACAACCAGTAAATGCAAAATCTAAAGCATGTCCCCATCTGAATATTTACTGGTTATGGTCATGATGAGCAAGGGCTGCAGCAGGAACACTACTGTACCACAACCTATGCAAAATACTTCTATGAGAACACTGCTCACTAGCTAGTTACGTTTTGTGTTTAGATGTGCCCCCTCCCCCGAAAGCCTCATGCAGTCACAGCTGAGGCTTTTTCTGAGTTGGCTGAATGTAGACTGTGTGATACTGGGATTGTTTCATGGTGCAGTGCCAGACTCAAGGGCACTAGGATTAAGGCTGTGAGTGCTGCCCGCCCTCAGCAGCCTGGACAAGATGTACGAGAGAGAAACAGCGTGTCAACCCGTTACTCTGCTACCATTCTGCTCGTCATGAACTGTTACTCGCCTGTAATGCCCCTCTGTTATGTCACCCTGCCTTGGAGCCAGCCAATTATAGACTGAAACCTCTACAAACTGTGAACTAAATAAACCTTTCCTCCTCTGACTTTGGGTGTCAGGTATTTGTCTCAGCAAGGAGAAAAGTAATGAAGACACTTCATTTGGCTGCTATTTTCAAGTTGTGATTACTTAAAATTCAAGTTCTTAATTGCAGCAATTAGCCCATCAGTACAATACACACAATGCAAATATTTGTCCTACACATCCATCTTACTTTGCAATTCTTTAAACTGATTTTAGAAAATTAACAAACCTTTGGTGAAGGACCTGCTGGAGAACTTGAGGGTGAAGTGTCTCTTGATGTTTTCAAAGACTGGACAGGTCTCTCTTTATCTATATAAGAAAATACAAGAAGTCATTTTCTAGCTCATTTGTTTTCAATTAAGTGATTCAGTAGCTGAGCTCATGAGTGGATTCATATACTCATTTTCGTACTAAAACTTTGTATTACAATATCTAAAACTACCTGTCTTAGAGGCTGACATCAAAAATTGCAAGGCACAATCAGATGACATCATTTACAACAGCCTAGGCCACACCAAGGTCGGCTCACAAACAGGAAGCCACGAGACACCCTGGGAGAGGCAAACGTGTGGACACCATGCGCCATCTTCTCTGCTGCTAGATGCTGGCTTCAGTGTCTCACCACATACCACACGGGTAGATATTTCAGTTACTGTTCTGTGCGCAAACAGAGCTAACTAAGGAATCCCTCACGGAGAGCACACACTCCTGAAATGCTTGTGCAGTGGAAAAAACACAAGTAAAAAACTATAATTAGAGCACTAGTCCAGTGTCCACCACCAATGAATCCCTAACTACTTATTAAATCATTTAAAATCAATCACTGAGATAACGTTACCAATCTTCATCGTAAAAGCGTACCTGCATGTTGCTGAATGTATACATTTTTTGTTTCTGTTATTGTTTGAGACAGGGTCACACTATGTAGTTCAGGCTGGCCTTGAACTCACGGTGATCCTCCTGGCTCAGCTTCCCAAGTGCTGGGATTACAGGCATGCGCTACCACGCCCAGCAAATGTGTATATATACACCGTATTTAAGAAATAGCTTTGGGTAAATGGACCCTTAACAATTAGTAACGTTGACCTGTTACTGATAGAAACACACCTCACTGAATGATTATTGGAAAAACTAAGAGAGAAAGAGAACACAAAGTGGCACTAAGTTTGAAGTCATACAGAAGCTGGTCAAGACCAGACAGTGCATTAAAGCCAGGACAGCAGGCGCTCAAGAGCAAAAGCAGAGACAAACGCCTTGAAACTGAGGCAAAGCCAGCTTTGGTCAGGTCTTCCTTGTCTCCGCCAAGACAGCTAAGCAAGGGCAGAGAGACTCAAAGGCTTCCCACCGCCCAGGGCACTGGTGAGTAACACCTCTTAGGTCCTGAAGACCCGAAGGCTTTCTCTGGACCTGTGGTTCTCAAGCACAGCAGTTTCGTGCCTCCTAGCCACAAACACTGGGCAGTGTGTGAAGATAACGGTGAGGGTCACAAGGGAGAGAGCCACTGGCAGTGGCCAGGGAGCTGCTAAACATCCTGTTATGCGGGGCATCCCCCACCACGCATCATCCAGCCTCATCCAACCTCAAATGAACCCCTGCTGGAGGCTGGGTCAAAGACAACCTAGAATTTTATGGTACCAAAAACCTGGTCCACAAGAGGCTTTTATATCAAGCACTTTAAACTTCCTGTAGAATTTAAAAAGCAAAGGAAATGTGATAGTAACCATCTATACCCGCAAACGGTCAAAACCAATTTAGTCATTCCTTACTGCATTTTCACTGCACGTGGCAAACTCAACATTGCACTGTGACAGCTGTAGTCTATTTCACTACACCGAAAGTTCACAGATGAACAAGTAACAGTTTATTCGATTTCAAAATAGCCATAACCTTAAAGTCAAGAATAGGCACTCAAAATGGGTAAAAAAATACACCCTATTTTTCCACCCTTAGGATGCAAGGATCTACCTCCTCGTCTCATTTACACACTAAAAGTCCCTAAAAGAAAACAAAGTGCTGGAACAATCAGCACAGCAGACTGTGCTAACTACAGACATCACTGCAGGTTCAGTGTTAACATGTTGTCTGCTAAACATGAGAGAGGAATTCTGTCAGAAGTACTGCAGCTGTCAATAGCTTGCTTCATGTTTACAAAGAGGGTATCAGCTCAACAGCTATGCCGTGCATGGTCCCCCCCAAGTGTAATCTTAACACCTCACTTCACGCGCTCCAAGGCTTATCTGAGCAGGTATCGAGCAGTCTCACTGCGCAGAAGAGAAACGAACACTGAAGAGCAGGGCAGGCAGTTTACTGTACACTCATTTACACCATCTGAATGGGAAGCCCAGGCGAGAAGCAAACGACTAAGAAAGACATGGTAAACACGGCAGCAGAAAGAGCTCAGAAAAAGAAGTACAAATTCCTTGATGCTATCTGCTCAGGGTCTGGTTTCTCTACAGATCTCAGCCTCCTGTACAGTGACTATTAGCCCGGGTAACAAAACCTTATAGCCCCCCAAATCCCACTCCCTGGATCTACCGCTGTGCTGCTACGCCCGTCTCCTGGCAAAGGACTAACGGAGGAGTCATACACTTTCCCCATTTCTATGACCTCTACCAATTCAAGCCTCCCACCCCGTAAAAAACCCCAGATCAGAATCTAGCTCAAAACTCACCTCTTCCTGGCTTTCCTTCATTCTGCCGTTTGTAGGAGGCACTGGCACGCACGGGCTCTGGGGAAAGGTGGGCAGGGAGGAATTAACAGTGGGACCTCTGTGCCCAGCACACGTGAGGTGAAAGCCCCAGACTGAGAGGCTGAGGATATAGCTCAGCAGCACAGCACCTGCCTAGCAAGTGCAAGGTCCTGAGTTCAATTCCTAGTACCAAAAAAAAAAAAAAAAGCCCCAGACTGAGAAGGGTTTCTGAGCACTGGTTGGGCACCCGTACGTTACTGCTGCCACGCACCTTGCAGCTCTGGGGGCACATGGCTAACTGGGAGCTTCCCCAGACACCACACTGCTCCTGCTGCGCTTCTCCCAGCACCCGGCTGCACGAGGGACGCGCGTGTCGGACACGGCGGGCTGTTCTGCTCAGCGTGACAGAGCAGAAAGAGCACACGTGCTCAAAACCGCACAGGACGGAAAGGTCGGTTAACTTGATCCATTTGGCTAAGCACAAGCAGACTTCAGTGTTCCTCCATCTCACCCTGATGGCTGCTGAGACCGGCACCAGACTGCCTCTCGCCTTTCGCAGGCCCCATACTCAACGTCCCTTGAATGATCACTTTCCCAATCTGTCCTTGTTCTCTCACAGCCTGGTATCTGGAATAAAAGCTGAGGTCCAACCCTGGCCTACCTACGGGACAGCTTTCCATTCCGTGGAGCAGTCCCTCTGGTCTCAGCGTCCCTGCAGTCTCAGACTCTGATTAATTCATTCTGTTCAGCTCCAGCATCCCCGGGGGGCAACAGGCTACGTAAGCAAACCCCACTGAAGACGAATCACAAGAGAAGAGGAGAAATTTCTGCTTAAGGTGTGAAAGACCAAATACCACCCCCAGAGTACACTTCTTTGGCATACTGACATGACTATTCAGAGAAACAGCAAACAGAAAAATAGTTCTAAAAATCTGTACTTTGGAAGAAGAAATTTACATTTATCTATATTAATAAAAAGCAGATGCAAAAAGAGGTTTTCTCTGAGATCTCCTTAATGTGCCTGAAAATGGAAGGACCATACTGCAAGAAAAGCAACCAGAGATTCAGCACCCCAACCAGTCAGAGACTCTTCTGAAAGCACGTCAGATTACTGGAGACTTTACCTGCACAACAAGAGAATCGCTTATCTGCCATGGATACTCCTTCACCCTCCCACACGTGACCGGCACCTCCACATTGGAAGGAAGCCCCAGCTTCTCTTCCAATGCTACCCCAAATTCAATCATCTGGCCCTTCTTTGAGTCTCATACTCTGTGAAACTCCCATGTGAACACATGGAATAAATTTTGATGTCTTTTCTCATTTATCTTCCTGCTGTATTTTTCAGAGCTACAATTACTGAAACGTTAGAGGGTTGAAGGAAGATGTGTAAACTCCCTACAAAGCTCAGAGGCTGATTTGGAAGTGTTATGGTAAGGCCAGTCAAGGACAGCATGGGGATAAAGGAATGAGAAAAGAGCAAAAGACAAAGAGGGTATTTTGTCCACCACTCTAAGGACCTAGTCTAATACCCTCCGTGAAGTCCGCATTCAAGGAGTGGTAAAGGAGACACTCACATCTACACCTGGGCCAAGTCAAGCTTGAAACATGGCAGGGTGCACAGACACACCTATATCCGCAACCTGCACAGGAGGCAGAAGCACAAGGATGGTAAGTTCAAGGCCAGCCTGGGCAATGTAGCAGGAACCAGTCTGAAAAAATAAAAAAGAGGGACAGAAGGATAAAGAGGGAGAGGAGAAAAGATGAACCTCACTGGAAATTAAAAAGAACCCAGGAAGGCCTTCAAATATACATTTTGATTGTTCGCAACAAACTGCGTATAACCCTGGGCTTGAGGGTGCATATCTATGAACCCAGCACTCAACTCAGCAGGATCCCAAGTTCAAGTCCTGACTGGGGAATTTAGTGACACCCTGCCTAAAAATAAAAAAATAAAAACACCCGGTATATAGCTCAGAACAAAGGCCTCAGGTTCGATCCCCTGTATCAGAGGAGGGGAGAAGGCTTACATATACTAGTCAGGGTGCCCCAATATTTTTCTAATGAGACCAAAGGTCAAAACATTTCATTCAAGTCTTTTTAGTCTACATCCCAAATTGCAAATTTATTTTTCTTTTTTCCTAGAAAAAAAAAAATTTCTGAATTGTTTGGGGATTGTCAAGCAACTTCTCTAGAGATGGGTTTCAAATGTAACACAAATATTGCCACTCTACTTTTATAACAGTTTTGTTGTGGATATGATATACTTTTCTCTGGCACTGGGCAAGTTTTTGATCCTCCTGAGCAGCTTTCTTTTTAATGTTACATCATGTACTTCAAGACCAGCCTGGGCTACAAAGTGAGCTCAAGGCCAGCCTGAACTGCACAGCGAGACCCTGTCTCAGAAAGAAAAGAAAAGAAAGCAAACAAAATAACGTTACATCACTATAAACACCGCTGCTCCTTTTCTGTTTGCCTTGGCCACGCTTTTAGCTCATCTACCCCAGCTGTTCAGAACATTATCACAGGGCATTTCTTTCGAGAACTATTAACTTCATTCTCACATTTGTTTTCCTATTCTTGCTCTTTTTAAAGAAAATTCACCCACTTATTTAATCCTGTTTCGTTTATTTCATTCAGCTATCTCAAATTCTTCTTCAAATCAAGCCTAAAGACAAGAGTAGTTACACTTCACAGATGAGCCACTGGAGCACTCGTCATCTCACCTCAGCTGTAAGAGCGGACTGCATCCACCTCTTCCAAACTCCGTGTTCGTCCTCCGCGTCGACAGTATGAAATAAACCCTGAGGAAAACTACTCATTCCACTGACATCGGCAAACGCGACCCATCCGTTTACTCACACCGCTGGTTATGTGCCCATTTTTGTTCCAAATTTCAGAGATACTGAAGTTACTAACACACTTATTATACATTCCCATCCATGTTGCCTTGGGTTGGAACACTAATTTCCTTAACAGACAAGTAAACCACCCAGCAGAATTAAAGGATCTGGAACAATTAAGTAGTTTCACTCCACAGAATTTTGGGTTTGCTTTATTTTAAACTGTACCGCACTGAAACATCTAGTACTGCACTGAAACATCTAGTACTGTACCTGCACTTCAACATCTAGTTTTTACTGGTCCACTCACATTGAAACCAACAGTCTCACTTGTCTTCTACCATAGCACTTTAGTGGTGTCTAAACAATATTTTCTACATATTTTGGCATTTGATTTCTATGCCTGTGTTAGCTTTCCATCACTGTGATAAAATGCCTACTAACTTACAAAGATCAAAGGATGATCTTGGCTCACAGTTCTGGAAGCTCTGGCCATGGTGAGGCGGCCCACAGCTTTGGGCCTGTAGAAATATGGTATTCATGGACAGAGGAGGCATATGATCTAGGGGCAGTGCAGCACAAGGCAGCAGAGAGGCAGAAGGAGCTGGCGTTTGATTATCTCCTTGCAGGGCATCCCCCCCCAACATCACAACCTCTCTAACCAAGCCTGCCCTCTCCAAGACCCCATCACTTCCAGTAATGCCACAGACTCAGGGCCACGTCTATCACACATTTCAGACCCCAGTGCCTATTTCTGTGCTAGTCTCTCTGTATCGTTCTTTCTCTTCAGTAGGTTACTGTTCCCGAAATGTGAGTACTCGTAACCTCAACACTTTTTCCTCTACTATTTTTACATGGCTCCATTCAACACCGTGAATATAAATGTCTCTCAGATATATCTGTCTTTTTCACATTCTGTTAGAATGCTGCTCCTCAGCTATTTCACCATTACCTCAAATTCACCTCACCAATGACCTCAGTAAACAAACACTAACTTTCCGTTGAGACCAAGGTAAGAAGGCTCAAAACATTCCTACCTTCCCCATAACTTGCTAAAAAAAAGGAAGAAAAAAAAAAAAAAAAAAAAAAGAGCTCTAAATTAGGATGAAGGAATGAAACCAGAAAGGAAAAAGTCTGAAAGTAGCACTATGGAAATCAGAATTTATACCTACTGGTGAGTTAACGAATATATGAGAAGGAAAAACCAAACGGTACCTAAGACACATGGTTTCTGACTTCTAATTAATCTACAATTTTCCAACTTTATGGTAGTACAATAACCATACAGAGTCAGTAAAAACCGCCCCAGCGAAGTTTCATGCAGTCATAGCTGAAGCTTTTCAGAGACAGTTTGATCTGGAGTTCGTGGTGCTGCGATTAAGGATGCATAGTGACTATATTAGTCCACTGAGTGGTCTGCCATAGTGCTGGGTGTGGACAATGGGAAGGCCCTCCCTGGCTGTGCGTGCCGCCCACCCTGCGGGCAAGGTAGCCTGGACAGACTGTAAGACACAGAAGGAGGGCTGCAGCCATCGCTTGTTGCTTGTTACATCACGGCATTGCTCCTTTCCTGCCTTTGCCCACCACGAGCTGTTTCTCCTCTGCGATGCCCCTCTGCCACACCACTGTGCCTTAGAGCCAACCAACTATGGACTGAAACCTCTAAAAATCTCTGAGCCAAAATAACCTTTTTCTCCTTTAACCTTCAGTGTCAGGTGCTTTGTCTCAGCAACAAGAAAAGTAACTGAGACACTGTACTTCCAATTTCAACTCTGACCTTTTCTGGGGCTAACAATACAGTGTACAGGACTCTCCAAGCTGAGCAGTGACAGCAAGCCAGGGGCTCAGCCTCCCACACCTGCCACAAGGGTGCGCTGCAGCGCACTGTGCTGCAAAGCGCTGGAGTCCCAGTAGGTTAGGGCGCTAAACGCACTGTGCAGCATAACAGTATGTGCCGCTCATGATGGGGCATGTAAGAATCTACCCCCATTGTAAGTGAAGGAACTGGCTCCAACGCCAGTACACGCTTTACCACAGTACTCTCAGCATCAATAGGGACAGGGGTCTGCACACAAGAAAACAGAACAGAGGCCTCATTCATTCTGGCTCATCCTGACTAGAAGGGTTTAAAATTCTACAAAGGAGAAATTCCCCTGGGAAACAAGCCAAGGATGGAGGCAGAGAAAGAGGAAAAAA